GTATAATTATTAAATAAGATCTATTAATAGCCGTCAACTACTTACTTTAAATAGAATAAGATAAGAAAGCTCCTATAGGACTAATATTACTAGCTTAGTTAAAGAAGTAATATAAACTAATATATTAAGAACTATCTTATTTATTATTATTTAAAGAATCTTAGAGACTGGATGCTAGGGCTCCTATAACCCCTACTTATCCTAAAATAATTATAGTAATATATCTTAATAAACTATTAATCTTTCCTAAAAAATAATAACTTAAAGAATGCTGCCTTAGTGGTTATAAATAGGTTAAATAAGAAGACTATCTTAATCCCCTACTTTAAGATAGATAGCGCAAAGGAACAGGTGGAGCTGTTTATTAAATATATATATTAATATTATAAAGCCCTTAATTCTATAGTATCTAATAGAGGTCCCTAATTTATCACTAAGTTCTAATAAGAGTTTTACTATATCCTAGGGGTAAAGCTAAAGCTGTTAATAGCTCACTATATATAAATAAATAGTTAAATAAAGATTATAAATTAATATATTACCTAATAACTATATCCCTTTATTAACTACTATTAATTAAATTAGTTAAAGCTTTTACTATTATTTAACTATATAGCTGCTATCTTACCCTATAAGTTAATAAGAGTGTTGCTGTTCCTAATAAATTAAGGTTATTTATTAAAAACCTTATTTAACTAGAGAGATTAAAATAAGGATAAAGACCCACCCCTAATATTAAGGATAAAGATAGAATAATAGGAGGTGAAGAAAAAAGCTAAATAGCTATAAGAGGTATAGGAATTTATAAGGAAGAATATAAGAGAAGTCTAAGAATGCTAAAGAACCTAGGTAAATAAATATAAGAGGTAGATTAACTTTAATACTAATAATAAGGCCTTCCTTATAATAAAGAGCTATAAGATAGATAAATTAAATAAAAAGCTAGATTATTAGATATTAGGTCTCTTTTCTATTAAAAAAAGAGAGGGTAATATCTTCTATCTAAAACTCCTTAACTTAATAAAAATTTATCTAGTTATATCCCCTAATAAGCTATAAAAGGCACTAGATAATCCCCTATTAGGATAGATTATTAACCTGTAGGAACCATTAATAATAAATAATTAAAAAGAGTGAGAACTAGATAGTATATAGGTAGTATATAGTTATTATAATAGACTATAGTATTAAATTAATTAATTAGGATATAATCTAGATAATAAATAGTATTTAACTAGGAATTTTATAAGAAGTTTATATCTCCTAAAGGAGTTTTATAAGATGCATCCTACTAAACTAGGCCTACTAAAAGGCCTAGAGAAATGGCTGGCAGCCTGAGACACAGGTGAGGACCTAGAGGAGAATAATAATAATAAGATACTAATTAAAAGTATAAAAAGAGGTAGGCCTATAAAAAGAAAAGAATTAATAAATAGATAACCTTCTATAAATAATATCTAGATAAAGTGGCCATCCCATCATTCTTAGAACATCACAAGATGAATTCCCCTTAGGAATAAAGGGGTCTAAGTAAAGTGAAGTCTTAAGTAATAGGCTATAGTATAGAATAGGGTATTAAAAGAGTCATAGTACCCTCATTGGCGTGAGAGCGTTAAACATAGATTTATAGAAGAATTAAAGGCTAAATAAGGGGGTAATATTATAGTAACAGCAAGGTCATTTATATGCCTTAGGCAGGTTATAGTGAATAGGGCTGCTATTCCTATTTTAGCTTAGTATAGGAAAGGGGAGAGGGATATTAGATGCGCCTTATGATGCACCTCTCCCTCCTCTCCTCTTTCCCCTCCTTATTTAAATATTTTAGTATTGAAGCCACCAATTGATTATTCATTTGCTTAGGGCCGTCACACTAATAATAATAGTTCCTAAAGGTTTATCCCCTAATGATCCCCCTGATATGGGCTGCACAATATGTATTAATTCCCTTATCTATATAACTAAACCTGCCGTTGAACCTATTAACTCTATTAAAGAGGCCTAATTTATAATTAGTAGAGTATAGATATTATCATCATTATTAAGTGCTTAAACGCGCCCTAAGATGTTACCCCTAGAAACTATTAATAATACAGCTTATTAGAGTTAACAGTTACTATTTATTATGCCAATTTAAATAGTAAATATGGTGCCGTTGGCCCCCTAGAGACCTATAATAATAAAGTAAATAAATATAATAGTTAAAGACTTTAAGAAAAAGGTAAATAATCTATAGCTTTAAGCTTAACAAATTTAATATTAGCGCGACAATGAGGAACATCTAAAGATAATTAGGTAGGACCTATAGGATAGAGGATTTAAAGATTATGACCCTAAAGATATCTCTTCTTTATTCTTAAAGTTATTAGAGAAAGCTAAAGTAAGTACTTAATTAAAGTTACTGCTAATTAATTAATATACTATAACTTTAAGACCTCCTAGTTACTATCCACCTTTATCTCTTAATCCTATTTAATAGGATACTATTTAGATGATTAACTATACTTAATCTAAGGAATTAAATATATTTATTATATCCTATATATTATTTAGAATTAATAAAGGTGTGCCGCCTAATTGATATGGCGCTTATATTAAATAAGCCTATAAGCCTATAGGGAGTGTAAAGTCTATGTCTATGATATCCCCTAAGGAACCCCTAGAGGGATGCTTTATAATAATACTAATCCTAAGACTTAAAGTAAATAATATTATACTTCTTAAATTATAGAAAGAGGCTATAGTATCCCCCTAAAAGGACCTCTAGATAAAGGCTACTAAAGATTAGGTTATAAAGCTTAAGGCTAAAGGCACCTAGATAATAATTAATAAGCCTATAGGCATATTCTTAATCCCTAGTAAATAAGTCTTTATATTTAAAATAGATGCTAATAACTTTATTATTAAATATAGAGCCCACTAGGTTATCTATAGTAATTACTAATAATGGGGCCATGATTTTAATAAGATCTATACCCCTATTATATTAGAAACTGCAACTAAGATTATGCTATTAGTAATTATAGTGCTTAATATATTTATAGAATAGGTTAACTTTATTATAGTATATTTAAACACTAAATTAGCTAATAGACAGATCTTTATATAACCCCTAATAGGATTTAACTAGAATAGTAAAGTATACCTCTTATAGTAGGTATTATATGGCCTACAGCAATTAGTAATATTATAGAACTAGATAATTAATTAAAAACTTAAAGAGCTTAGGTTTATGCCTATTATTAGTGACCCCTATATTTATATCTATAAATAAGATACTCTAGTGATGGTTTTAATATATATAGATAATGCAATAATTGCAGCGTTCTCTAAAGAGGAAGTTAATAATATTAAGGATTAGTTAAATAAGGCCTTTCCTCTTAAAGTTATTAGTAAATTATTAAAATTTCTAGAATGTCACCTAGTGTATAATTATATTAATAAGATGGTTTACATCTCCTAGGCACCCTATATTAAATAGTGGCTATTAGAATTAGGCATATTAGACTATATACTAGCCGACATGCTAATGAATCTATAATATTTAAAGCTCTTTAAGGACCTATCCCCCCCCACAGATCTCTCTTAATATTAGAAAGTTATAGGTAAAGGCAATTGGCTGACTATAAAGACCTATATAAATATTATATATATAATTGCTTATCTATAATACTAATCTATATCCTTAATAGAGACTAATATTATGGCTATTAAACACCTCCTGCAATACCTAAAGTGTTATAAGAATAATGGCATCACCCTAGGATATAGACCATATAAAGGCCTGGCTGTATATATTGACACTAGTTATACAGATAATAATAACAGCAAGTTAATAGAGGTATATATTATAATGTTTATAGGGGCCCCAATCTTATGGGCTTTATATAAACAAATATTTGTCGCCACATTGAGCACTATTGCTAAATTCTGTGCCCTATCATAGGCAATTAAAGAGGCTATATGGCTGAAGAAATTGACCGTTGCCATGGAGATTAAAAAGGAAGGCCCTATTCCTATTTATACTGACTCATCTAATGCTATAGATATTGTGATATCGCGAGCGAGCGATATCGCGAACTCCCGCGCGGCCATGAGCGGGATCACCTCAGCGGAACGCCAAGGTGCCCGCTCACCGACGACGCGAGATCTCCTGACCCTAGTGGAGCAGTTATGTAGAGTTTTCGCTCCGTACCAGGGATCAATTAATTCTATAGAGTTCTATCGTCACTGGGTCGCTCAGCTTTCAATAAGCCAAGGGGAGGTATATAGATACCTTCCCTCTGACCCATGGTAGCGATAGAACAGAGATTTTCTAGAGACCGTTAGCTTTCGAATATCACAATATTCTCAAGAAGAACGGTTTTAACATAATAACTAAATAGATTAATAATTATTACTTTTTTATTTATGATATGATTGATAAGGGACTAATTAAGGTTAAATAGATAAGTGGTCATGTGAACCCTACTGATGGCCTAATAAAGCCTCTAGATTAAGTGAAGCATATCATGTTCAAAGAACTGGTTAATCTTCGGAAAGTGGCGATGCCAACCCACATCGGGAACAAATCAGATGAGGAATGATTGATGATTGATGAGTAAATGATTCCCCCTTTTTTCTTTTTTTCCACTATTACATGCTTTAATTGATGTTAAATAAGAGGTTAGCTAGTCTAGATAGGTGCTCGGCGACGGGGGGTGTATCAGAGGTGCATGCCCGATTAGGCCTAGCGTCGCCTCATTTGGCGCGGCCGCACCGCACAACCACCTGCTTCGCGTCCGAGCCGTAGCAGCAATAGCAACCATCAGCCATCTCTTCCCTTTTCCAGGCCTGCTAGGCCAACATTAAGTCTTGGCCTCGGTTCGATTCTGATTCGTTAGTTATGGTGCAAAGGACTTCGGACTATCGTAAATCTGCCTCTCCGAGTATCCGCTTGCCTTTCTGTGAGCTGACATCATGTGACACACATTCGTCGGCCCAATAGTAAATCCGATCTGAATCCAAAACCACTTGATGGCCTTTTCTTTCTCGTCGAGCAACGCAAGATGGCTAAAAGACGACTATTCAACCGTCCAACAATATCAATATTTCCTAACCCACGATTATCGTTTCATCTAAATATCGCCTCTTCACGTATAGGCTTAAGCAAGCGTGCTATGGCTGATCTTCGCTCTCCCTCGGAACCGCGCGTCTTCCCTTGTTCAGGGTGGGATATCATCGATCCTTCTTTAAAGATTGAAGAGGAGTCAATTCCAAGCTACAAATCCGAAAATTTTTATCCAGTTCGCATTGGTGAAGTATTCAATCACCGATATCAAGTATTGGGCAAGTTGGGCTATGGCTCCAGCGCGACAGTGTGGCTCTGTCGTGATTTATTGTAAGGACAACCAATTTCGGCTCATGGACCCAAGCTAATCGGTCAGGGATCACCGTTACATAGCATTAAAGATTTACACGGCGTCAAAAACAGTGACTCGAGAGATCGAGATTTACAACCATCTAAGAACAGTTAAATCCAGCCATGCGGGTCAGTCGTGTCTGCGACCGTTGCTTGAGGTCTTTCAGGCCCAGAATCCAGACGGGCATAGTATTCACACTTGTCTGGTGCATCCGCCACTTGGGATCAGCCTTGGCCAGCTTACTCCATTACTCCCTGATGGGGTGATGAGCAGCGTCATGGTAAGAACTACCATACGGAATATCCTTGCTGCTCTTGACTTCCTCCACACGGAAGCAATGGTTATACATACCGGTGGGTACCACTTTATTCAACTTCGCCACTAAAGGGTTGGAAGTAATAAGTAATGGTATAGATCTCCAACCAAATAATATTCTCCTTGGCATCAAAGATGACTCAATTCTATCCCAATTTGAACAGGCAGAATTTGAAGCACCTGCACCACGAAAAATTCTTGATGATCGTACCATTTACATCTCACGGCCACTCTGTATCTCTTATGGGACGCCTGTTCTCTGTGATTTAGGTGAGGCTCGATTAGGGACGGACCAGCAACAGGGCGACATCATGCCAGATATCTATCGGGCACCAGAGGTCATCTTGGATATGAGTTGGGACAGCAAAGTTGATATCTGGAATGTTGGGATGGTGGTAAGATAATTTTCCACGTAATCTCAATGCTACTTCAACCCACCATGGAGCTAATAATCGTAAGATCTGGGATCTGTTTGAGAGTCGCCATCTTTTTAGGGCGCGGAATCCCGCACGCGAATTGGATGATGGATATCATCTCGCCGAGATGCAGGCGGTCCTCGGAAGTCCTCCTGTTGAGTTCCTCGCTCGGAGCGAAAGAAGCCTCTTCTTTTGGGATGAAAATGGTTTGTGCATGCCCCTTTTCCTATTGATGTGCATGTAATTGACAGATTTAACAATTTTTGACTTTATATCAGGTAATTGGAAAGGCGCCGTTCCCATTCCGGATTATGATCTTCACACACTAGAAGAAAGGCTCGAAGGCGATGAAAAGGACGACTTCCTACGTTTTCTCCGGCGGATGTTATGTTGGCTTCCAGAAGAACGAGCCTCTGCAAAAGATCTTCTATTTGATCCTTGGTTAATGCATGGTCTATTCAAGTGAAAGCAAGTGTGGTTGCCCTGAGGAGCAGCAACTGGTGGATCAGTTTTTTTTTTTTTTATAACAGACTGAAGTTACCAAACGACTAAGTGATCCCAAAAACGGGCACTACATTCCTAGGAACAAGGTGTCCAAGAGAGCAGGGTGTCCGCAGGATAGCGGATAGCCACACACGGCCCTGATCTTTGGCTTGGCGGAGAGACGTCTGCAAATCATCCGATCTCCAGTCCCCTTCCATCCCTTCCTCTCCCTAGCTTCAAAGTCTTAGTTTAGCTGCCAATAGATTTGTTTCTCATTGCTTGAGCCGTTACAGCGATGGCCTGACAGAGGGTTAACTTAATCCCTCCTTTATTGAAGTCTTTCAGCCTCTTAGTATTTTAGCCAGCTGGAGACGAAGCCTTATCCTTTTGCAGGATACTTGCGCGGCAACGCGGTCTGTGGAGTAGATGCGCCTTCCTCTACGTTACAGAAGGTGGTTGCAGTGTTGATGGTGGTAATATGGTGCTGATATTCCTCCTTGATCGTGGCACTGGGTGTAAGGCCGACCTCCGAGCGGTCGCTTACAAAGCCTTCAGGCTACCCTCAGGCTCCTACGCTAGGCTATATTGAGCAACTCCCTACGACCCATGCCATGTCAGACCATGACAACAGGGATCTACAGCAGAGCACCTTGCTCTGCCGCAGGACCTCTGATATAGCCTAGTCCTAAGCAGATACTAGGACCTCAAGCAATTCGTTACTTCTCCTCCATACCTACTTTCCCTAGGCCTGCAGTAGCCAGTGCGCATTCTTGTTGTATAGCCATCGTACCGACATATCCCGCCTTACAGTTTCGAATTGCTTCCAACACACGTCGGATCGATACGATTCGGATCCTACGCAAGATACACCTGGCCGCGACGGGCCTACCCTACGAAACGACGCCGAACGTACTAGACGCCGGCGTGAAGCTATCGGAACCTCGCGAGCCAGACGTCGCCAAGCGCCTGTCAATTCCCAATCATCCTCCCGAACTGCAGCATCGACAGATAGCCGACCTACAGTCGACATGGCCCAGGAAGGACAGGCCGCGGGGCCAACGGGGAGGTTTGACACCAATCAGATACAATTATGCCGCCCAAGCTTGTTCCTGGATGATCAGTGCATTCTGGGGAAGAGGTCAGGTAGGTCCTGTGAGTCACCCCTCATGCTCCTATGTAGTTAAATAATCCTGGCAGCAATTAGCACACTCCAGGAACCTATTATCTTATTATTTATATTAAACCTTACTTAAGATTATTACTACCTAGAGTTTCACTTTATAAAGGCTTAATTAAAGCTTTAGTAAAACTTAGTAAATATTAAATTAGCTAATCTATACTCTTTTAATTCTATTAACCCTACTTCTTATAGCTACTTTATAGAATTAGTTAAGAAATATTACTTACTAATTCTAGAATCCTCTACTTTATTTAAGAACTATAGCTAGTTAAAGCTTCTAGATAATTCTATATGCCTAAAATAACTATTTAAAGTCTTACTTCTTACTATTAATCTTAATTCTATTCTTTATCTTATATTAAATGTCTATGACTATTCCTGCCTAATCTTCCCCTATCCTTTGCTTTATATTTACTTTATTGCCAATTATTATCTATTCTCACCCAGATATAGAGATTATCCGTCCTTATAAGTTATCTATGCGCGAGCACAGCTGCCTATTTGGCATATAAGTTTTGATAACAAGCACTCCTAGATCCCGGCAGCAGGATTATTATAGAGCTTAAGTATAGCCTATATTAGCTCTAAGTATACTAGTCCTAAGCAGACTATCTTTAAGTATCTCTTATTATTATTTCTAGTAGGATCCCTTACTACTAAAGGCCGTCAGATAATCATATAAGCAGCCTCTAGCTATATACTATTATTTAATTAGTATTATTAGGAAGATTCTCTAGATTCCTAGGTAGACCCTACTATATCTACTAGATAAAGATAAAAGTAAGGGTTCAGCCAGGTTCTATTATCCCTACTAATTTAATAGAGGATACTTTAAATAGATCTTTAAGGGGACTAAAGCAGACAATCTTATCCCTATATTACTTAATTCTATATATAGATATGTCTCTTTAGGCTATAAAAAGGCAGCACACCTAACCCTAGCTATCTAAATATAAGATTATATATATGCGGCAGAGATATTAATCATTACCTAATTAGTATATATAATCTAGTAGAGAAGCTTAAGGCATAGCTTAATTAGGATTTAGATTATAACTATACTCCTATAGGCCCTTATAGGTCCTATAGTATATTATTTAAGATCATTTATATTATATTTAGATATACTATAGTTAGGAAAGGAACAACTTCTAGACTCTAGAAGGAGGTATCTTATAAAACTAAGGTTTATTATATCCTTTAGCGCGCCTAAGGATTAGTAGTTCTAGTCTTTCTTAATATTATTAATCTAGCCTAGATCTTCTTCCTCTATGGCGCAGGAGAAATCTATTATATACTTCTTATAGGCTAGAGTAGTAAGAGTATAGGCTATATTAGTCTTAACTAGAATATTTAGCAGGTGGTCTCTTACTTAATATAGGAAATATAGTCTTTAGGCATCTCTTATTAGGATCTATATCTAGAAAATATCTTATAGAATACTAAACTTTAATAAGCCTTTATTATTAACTTCTATTAATATATATTAGACCGTCGGCCAATGCGCAAGCAACCCAGCTCTCTTAAATAATTATAATATAGGCCTAAAGAATATAAATCTAAAAGACTATATATGGTTTAAGCAAAGGCAGTGAAGGCCAATAGAGATAGGTCTATAGTACTAGTGTGATATTCAAAAGCTAATTCCTCTAGAAAATCTCTATTCTATCACTACTATAGGTTAGAGGGAAGGTATCTATATACCTCCCCTTAGCTTATTAAAAGCTGAGCGACCTGGTGGCGATAGAACTCTATAGAATTAATTAATCCCTAGTATAGAGTAAAAACTCTATATAACTACTTTACTAGGGTTAGGAGATTTCATATTATTAATAAGTAAATACCTTAGTATTTTATTAAGGTAATCCTACTTATAGCTATATAAAAGTTTATAATATTATTTACTTATAATATTATATCTTCTTTTACTTAATTAGAACTTTATCTATAAAGTCCTAATCCTCCCTCTAGGGCCTTATTAAGATAAATTAGTTATTAATAGATAACTTATAGATCTTATTTAATAAGGGCCTATAATTAATAAATAAAGACTTATTCTTTAATTACTTTATTAATTATTTACTAATTAATAAAGGGTTGCCTAGTCCTAGGTAAGAGTATAAGATATACTTATAATTATTATTACTAGGTGACCTTATAACCTCTTTATTTATAATAAAGGATATATCTTCTTATCTATTTATTAATAATTCCTTCTTTACTCCTTCTCTTATTATTATTACTTCTTATAACTATCTTATACTAATAGCTTTTAATAGTAAATTTAAGGACTCTAAGTCCTCTATCTAATATTCCTATTATAGGTCTAATTATTTTTATTAATTATTAAAGGCTAAGTATCTAGTGCCTCTTAAGACTCCTTTATCACCTACTAAGGAGTCTCCCCCTTAGCCTCTATTAGGCTCTTATTATTTAAAGTAGATTACTAATTATAATAATTTAGCACCTATTACTTATTATAAGTTTATTAATCTAGAGGATAAGATATAATTAATAATAATAAAAATTAAACTTCTTTTAAAGGCATATATAATCTTCTTTAATAATTATAAGCTTATTTATTTATTCCCTACTATTTATATATATTAAGACTTCTTTTAAAGTGGCTAGATATTAGTCCTAAGCTATATATTAAAGCTCTTTACCGCCATTATTTTTAAGTAGAGACCTATAATAGCTAATCTTTACTTAAAATATATCTATAATAATAGTCTCTAGACTACTTATATTATACCTCCTATTAAGGAGCTTAATAGAGATAAATATTAGATTTACTATATTAAGATATATATAAACTATCTCTTCTATAATAAAAGTATTAATTATAACTTATATTTATTTCTTTTAGGTCTTTTTATTACTAGTTACTAATATATTATAGGTGTCAACTATAATAGTAATAAAAAGTAGAGGAAAAAGAATAAGTATAAGAAGTAATAAAAGAGAAAAAAGATTAAGAAGAAGAGGACTTTATTACTTATTACTTTTATTATTTTTATTACTTTTACTACTTCTACTATTAATCTAGTATTAGCTACTATATTTTCTATTATTCTTTTAGTTTTATTAAACTTATTATCTATTATTAGTACTAGCGCTATTTTAGCTAGCTTATAATTAAGTGCTCTTATTATTCTAGTTATAAAGAGAGCTTAGTTAACTTCTTATTAAACTATCCTAGGTTTTACTCCCCTAAAGGTGTCACTCTAGTATTTAACTATTTCTTATAAGGATATAGCATATTATTTTAGGGAGTTCCTAGTTTATTATTTTAACTTTATAGGTTAAAAGGTTAGGGAGGCTATAAATACTTATTAAAAAAGTTTAATTAATAGTTTCTTCTAATTTATTAATTATAATAATACCCCCCCTATTATTTTATTTCCCTTATTAAATACTAATATTAATAATTTACTAAAGATTTATTAGGCTATTATAAATATATATTAATAAGTAACCACTCTTAAGACTTATAAGGATATATTAATTACTGCCGCCACTATAGAGAAAAAGAAGGAGAAGAATCTATAAGGGGAGTATCTTCTATATATAAAAAAATATTATTATAAGGAGTAATTAGCATCTATATCTTAAGGTATTATTATTAGCTTTTTATAGTTAGTCTCTTTTCTTTTAGTAAACTCTATAATAAATTCCTTCTTAGTATCTTTTAGTACTCTTTAAGGGGTGATCTCTTTACCCCTTATTTATATAATTAGGTATAGGCTTTTCTCTTTTTTATTTTTTATCTTCTTATCTTATTTTATAATTATTTAGATAACTACTATAAATAGTTTATTAAAGTTAATACTATTTTAGGTGTTAGTATCCTATAGTCTAGAGTCAGTCTTTTAGTTATTATTATTACTATAGTCATCTTTAGATATATTATTATTAGATATTATTTTCTTAGGTGCCTCCTATTTAGAGGTGCTTTCTAAGAAGATTAATATCTTCCTCTATTAGTCCCTTTATTATTAGATTATTATCTTTATTAAGGAGTTTCACTTCTTTTATTATACCTTTTATTAAGCTTTTTTAATTATATGCTTTATAATAGTACTATTATTAGTATTCTTATTAACCTCTCTCCCCTTTATCCTTAAGTATTTTCTTAAGTACTTTATTATTTATTATCTCTCTACTACTTCCTATTCTTTCTTTATTATTATTAATAGCTTTCTATAGGAGAGTAGCAGTGGTTTCTATTTCTTTAGGATTTTTCTTACCTTAATTAGGTACTATAGCATAATACTTTATTAATATAGTGTGATATCGCGAGCGAGCGATATCGTGAACTCCCATATGGCCATAAGTGGGATCACCTCGGCGGAATGCCAAGGTGCCTGCTCACTAACAACATGAAATCTCCTAACCCTGGTGGAGCGGTTATGTAGAGTTTTTGCTCTATATTAGGGATTAATTAATTCTATAGAGTTCTATTGCCACTGGGTTGCTTAGCTTTTAATGAGCTAAGGGGAGGTATATAGATACCTTCTCTTTAACCTATAGTAGTGATAAAATAGAGATTTCTAAGAGATTATTAGCTTTTAAATATTATATCTAGTAGTATATTATATTAGGGGTTAGCCCTTATGCTGACCCTAATGGACTACTGCTCTATAGATAATATCTAAGGATTAATAGGATTTAAAAGTAGGATAAAAGGGATGAAAGACCCCTTAAGTAAAGAAAGAAGAATTATTAAGTATCTTTACTAAAGAAACTAAGT